CCTTTTTTTTTTTATTTTTTAGATCACTGAACTATTTAATAAGTAAATTAATTAAATTATTTAATTTATTAATATTTTAATTAATATTATTACTAAAAAAAAAAATAGTTATTAGTTTTTCCTTAAATTTTCTTTTGATTTAAAAAAAAAAAATTTTTTTACTTATTATAATTACCTTATGATAAAATTCATTACGAATCGTAAATGACTTGCAGTATGTAAAAAAAATTACAGATTAATAATAAAAAGCTAAAAAAAATGATATTAAAAAAAAAAAAAATTAAGTAATAAGAAAAAAAATTACGTAATAAAATTAACCGCGAAAATAAAAGTAACGCACTTAAAAATGATACGAACGGATTCACGTCAGAACGCCGAATGAAGATATCAAGACTCCAGGGAGTTGAAAAATTCAAGAATAAATGAGGAAAACTGGTGGTGGTGATGATGATGATGATGATAATGTGAAAAAGAGTTAAAAAGTTAATGTTCAAGAAACTGACCATCGAATTATATTTTTTTTTATTTTTATTTAAATTTTACTTTTAATTAATAATAAAATATTTAAAAAAAAAAAAAACCCAATTATAATATTATATATAACAAATAAATTCATTATAATTATTATAATTAATTATGGAATATTACTCACGAGTATTATAACAATAAGTACTTATTTATTTATTTATGGAAGACATTTAAAAATTTTAAATTTGAAAAAAAATAAATAAATAAATTTTCGTTAGATTATAAGGCGAGAATAATTAAAATAAAAATGTTTTCCTAACTCTTACGTCACAAATCTAATTTCTTATCATTGTTATTATAGTGATAATGAATGGTCATTGTGCCAAAAACATTTTCCAATATTTCCAAAATATTTTTTTGTATGTAATTAACTTGTTCTTTTGGACAATAATCGTCGTTTGTAGATCTCGCGATTATGATGAGCGTGGGCGGTTTTTTTAATTCCAATAAAAATTTTTTAAAATTAATAAACATATCAACGAGTTCGCTGTCGGTAGAAACGTGTTCTGGAAGTTCTGTAGCATCCCATGTTAATCCAGCCGAATGAATTAGCCACCAATCAATTTTCGTATAATTTTTTTTTACGCATTCTATTATTTCTTTTATTTGTAAAATTATTGAATCGGATAATTCTGTTGATACATTTATATATATATATTTATAAATAATCGATTTTCTTTTTTTTTTTTTTAGTTAATCAAAAAGGAAAAAAAAAAAAAATGAAAGGACTCACCATTTTCCACATCATCTATACAATCGTTTTTTTCTAAACATTGGAAAATTTTATTTAATTCATCGAGTTGTTTTTCACGTTTTTCCGATATGTCACATATGAGTTCTTTATTCATATCTTCTTCTACTTCGGATTCAGGTACGTTTAATTTAACATTATTTGGTACAGTAAATGAAAATAATGGTTCAAGCATTTCGTATAGTTTTCCCTTTTCGAATTCGCGATTAAATGGATTTTTAGTGCTGAAAAATTTTTTAAAATTTACAAAATAATAATAATATTAAAAATTTGTTTTTTTTGGTTGTTGTCGTCATACGAACCTAAAAAAATCTAAATCGATATCTAAAACGTAATTTTTATTATTGATTTCGTTTGATACGTAATCGGTAGCATTTACATGTGAAACATTTAATAATAAATTTTTTTTATTTTCTAATTTTCCTTCGGGAACGCAAAGCCCATCACTTATAAAATAATATATACTTGAATACAACCTGATAAAATTATTCCATTTCCCTAATAACACTTTATAACTTCCTGTTGGGATTTGATTCGACCAAATGGGTTTAATCTGAAAATATTTATTATCCACAATTTAAATAAAAATCAAAAAGTCGTTCATATTTTATTAATATTAATATTAATATTATTATTATTATTATTATTATTATTATTATTATTATTATTATTATTATTATTAATTACTTGCCCAATGAACTGTATTAAAATGACCAGAATAACAAGCTGGCATTAGCCAATTTTCAATGCTTAACGAGTTAAATAAATCGTATTTATTAAAAACCGTTTCCGCTGGCATATTTTTTGGTATCATTAAATCTGGATGAGAATCAAAATGTATTATTGAATTACCCTCCAGCGGGAGATGTCTGGAACCCATGCTTTTATATATATATTCCAAAACGTGATTGTGATCTTCTACAATATGAACAGGAATATTTTTATATTTTTTTAATGTCATTTTCTAAAAAAAAAAAAAAACAGAAAAAAACAAAAAATTAAAATTACGTTCGACGGTTTATTTTAATTTAATTAATATTATTATTATTATTGTCATCA